CTAACCAGAATAAATTATTGAGTCCAAACAGGATGAATCACACATTCTAACCAGAATAAATTATTGTGTCTAAACAGGATGAATCACACATTCTAACCAGAATAAATTATTATGTCTAAACAGGATGAATCACACATTCTAACCAGAATAAATTATTATGTCTAAACAGGATGAATCACACATTCTAACCAGATTGTGTCTAAACAGGACGAATTGCACATTCTAACCAGATTGTGTCTAAACAGGATGAATCGCACATTCTAGCCAAAATAAATTGTTGTGTCCAAACAGGATGAATCATGCATTCTAGCCAAAATAAATTGTTGTATCCAAACAGGATGAATCACACATTCTAACCAGAATAAATTATTGTGTCTAAACAGGACGAATCACACATTCTAACCAGAATAAATTGTTGTGTCTAAACAGGATAAATCGCACATTCTAACCAGAATAATTTATTGTGTCTAAACAGGACGAATCACACATTCTAACCAGAATAAATTGTGTCTAAACAGAATAAATCGCACATTCTAACCAGAATTATTGTGTCCAAACAGGACAAATCGCACATTCTAACCAGAATTATTTATTGTGTCTAAACGGGATAAATCACACATTCTAACCAGAATTATTGTGTCTAAACGGGATAAATCACACATTCTAACCAGAATTATTGTGTCCAAACAGGACAAATCGTACATTCTAACCAGAATAATTTATTGTGTCTAAACAGGATGAATCGCACATTCTAACCAGTGATTCATCCTGTTTAGACACAATAATTTATTCTGGTTAGAATGTGTTATTCATCCTGTTTTGACACAATAATTTATTCTGGTTAGAATGTGTGATTCATCCTGTTTAGACACAATAATTTATTAATAATTTATTCTGGTTAGAATGTGTTATTCGTCCTGTTTAGACACAATAATTTATTCTGGTTAGAATGTGTGATTCATCCTGTTTAGACACAATAATTTATTCTGGTTAGAATGTGTAATTCATCCTGTTTAGACACAATCTGGTTAGAATGTGTGTGTGATTCATCCTGTTTATACACAATAATTTATTCTGGTTAGAATGTGCGATTCGTCCTGTTTAGACACAATAATTTATTCTGGTTAGAATGTGTGATTTATCCTGTTTAGACACAATAATTTATTCTGGTTAGAATGCGTTATTCGTCCTGTTTAGACACAATAATTTATTCTGGTTAGAATGTGTGATTTATCCTGTTTAGACACAATAATTTATTCTGGTTAGAATGTGTGATTTATTCTGTTTAGACACTTCTAACCAGAACAAATTATTGTGTCTAAACAGGATAAATAACACATTCTAACCAGAATAAATTATTGTGTCTAAACAGGACGAATAACACATTCTAACCAGAATAAATTATTGTGGTGATTTCAAGGTTATACTTAACACACACACACAGTCATCTGCTCTCCACACAATAACTAGAGATTTGAAAACCTGTTAGACAGAAGAACAAATTTTGTAATTTGTCACAAATGGAGAGAATACATAGTGTCCGAGTAAAAATAAAATGTTATTCTAAAATGGGAACAGGAGATTGGCTGATCGAGTACTGGGCTGTTGTTTCTGAGTGAAGCAATTGAATAATTGAAGACCATTCGAAACAAAGACTAAACTTGTGTCTGAAAGTAATCTATTCTTCAACAATACTCTGTTCAATTACATACTCTCTGACTGCATTTCAATTACTCATTGTTCCGTCACGTTGTGACCATCTTATATATACCAGACTACCCCCAATCTAGTAGTCTCCCGATAATTCACGAAGGTTCGAGAATGACGTGGCGTGATACTAATCACGTGACCTGGATGTCGTAACACAATTAAATTATTGAAGAACATTCGAAACAACGACTAAACTTGTGTCTGAAAGTAATCTATTCTTCTTGGAAATACCAAACTGCATTCCCTCTCTCGGCAGCCGATTATTCAGGAACTTGAATCATAATAATCTGAAAGTACCACAAGGCTACAAGGCTAGGATACAATAAAGCTATTCCATGAAACAATAGGTAATTTCCTCGTCTGCTACAGAAAGTTATACCTCAAACTGACTCGGATTACGTAGCTTACATCCGCTTCTTAACATTGCATAATGTTTAGGGACAACGTGGGAACTATTGGTCCACCTTGGCTGTTCCATCCTCTAAACTAAATTAAATAACAAGTCTTAAAGCCAGCCTCATATACTTATCAAGCTTTTTCTTAAAATTACTACCTCTACAACATCTGAAGGCAACCCATTCCGAAGGCCAACCACCTCGTTATAAAAATGAAACTGTCTTAGCTGAAGATGACTCCTACCCTGCCAAAATTTATATTTGTGTCCCCAAGTCCTACTATTCTCAAGGTAAAGTATGAAAAAAGATGATGTGTAAACACAATCAATTCCCTTTAAAATCTTAAACACCTCAATCAGATCCCCTCTAACTCTTCTTTTTTCAAGAAAAAACAAGTTGAGAGATTTCAACCTCTCTTTGTATGACAACCCCTCCATCCCAGGAACCATTCTAGTAACCCTTCTCTGAACCTTTTCCAACAACTGAGTCTAAGGTAAGGTGCCCAAGACT